GGGGCTAAAGATGTTTCTACACGGAGGGCCGAGCCTGAGAATTACTGGGAAAGGGGAGTCCAGGTGTGTTTGCAACAGGGGAGAAAGCAGTTCTGGGAAGAAGATCTAACTGCTGTTCAGAAAGGCCGCAGAAGAAGCCATCAACAGTGTCAAGAAGTTCAAGAGGAGGAAATAAGGATGCCAGTGCCCTAGAGGCAACTGGTTCAGGGAGAGGAGGGGTTCAAAGGAGGTCATTGTCTCTTTTAAGCACAATTTCTGGTCATCACCATGTTGTCACTAGGTTAGTGTGCTGGGAGCTGGAGAGGGTCCCTCATGCTTTCTACTTGGCAGGCTGAGTTTGAGTGAAATGTGGAAAACATGTTTATTGTGCCTTGCTTCTTACAACATTCCCACCCTGAGGCCAGAATGTCTGTGCTTCTTCAATCTTGGATCTTCTGAGACATCCCCAATGACTTATCAGGATGGACTGTCTCAGGGACATGGAGAATATTATCAGCCTATTGTTGCACATGAGGCTCCCAGAGGCTCTCAGATGTGCATCTAGCCCTATGATCCTATTTGCATCTTCCTTTGTGGGGGAACCATGAGACGTGTATTTCCTCTGCCCTCAGCCTGTGCCAATAGGAAGTGAACTCTGGCTGGGGCCAGATGAATGGATGAAGAGCTGTAGCATAACCCACTGGAGCTCTGCATCCTCACAACCCTCTTTGCTGTGTGCCAGGCACTTCACTAGGTGCTCTGCATGTCATCATCCTCAGTCTCCTCGGGAGCACTAAGCACTGCTCTCCAGGTGTCCTCTTGAAGAGGAGCCCAGAGGGGCAGAATGCTTCCTGTGTCACCAGAAGGACATGGGACCAGCCAGCCTATCTTGTCATCATGCTGTCCCTGCCAGAGTCCTATCGTCATCTTTCTGTGTAAATCCCCATGCCCTTCCCTGAAATGACTTAAACAAATGAAAGTCTGAACAGTGTGTATGGGCATTTACAGTTATCGAATGCCATACTGGATTGTGTGCATTGTCTTAGTTCTCAGGACAAAGCAGCAAAGTTGCAGTTAAAATTTGAAATTGAGTTCTGGGTTCAAATCCAGATTGTTCAACTTATTAACTAATTGCCTTATGTCTACTTTAAGAACTTAATGAGCTAATGTATGTACAAAACTTTAGAAGAGTGTCTGGCTCTGTTCTCAAGAAACAGTTTCCAGGATAATTTGTGAGTGAGTGTGTGTGTGTGTGTGTGTGTGTGTGTGTGTGTGTGTGTGTGTCTGTTCCATTTTATACATGAGGAAGCTGATTCTAAAAGCAGTTAAAAACTTGTTCAAGTTCAGTCAACTAATAAATGATGCTGGCAGATATGCCATCTGTCTCCAAGGCAGCCATGATGTGGCTGAACATCTTAAAGGTCCTTGGGATGATAGTATCTTCCCCTTCCAGAGCTCTTTTCCTAAGCAGGTACTCAATAACCCTTGTTTCCTGCTTTTATCACCTTCCCTAGAAGCTGTCCCTTCTCTGTGTTTTGATGTCACTGCTTGCAGTCCTCTGCAATCGCGCACCCGGCTACACAGATGGCCATTGGCTTCTGCCTGATCACCTGCTGGGATCGGAATCAGAGTCACTACTTTTGTCCCTGTTTCAGAATCTTGGCGGGTGGGGCCCCAAAGTTACATTTTATCTAATTCCCTGGTTAGTTTTTTGTTCACCAAGTGGGAGAGCCTGCAGGGGGATTTGAGCCACAGCTGGGGACAGCAGAATGCTGATAAGGTTGGGTAGGAAAGCAATGATCCCTGAAAACTAACAGAAACATCATTCTCTGCAACTCACTGGGCCTGAGAAAATCCCTAATTTGGTCCTGGTCCCGGGAGAACCCCAGCAAAGCTATCTTTCTTTAATGTAATTCTCAGTCCAGAGTGACCCTAAACTGCATCAACTAAAGCCTCATTCTCCCCAGGATGTTGCCTGTAAAGTTGACCATGAGTCTCTTCCCAGTGCCCTGGAAGTGCTCATTAACTAAACTTAACCTGCATTACAGAAAACAGAGACCCCAGGGAGGGCCTGGAGCAGTCTTCAAACTCGGTGCTCAGTGACTGCCAGGACACTGATGCCACAACAGTTTGTAATAACCAGATGCTTAGGAAAGCATTGCCAGAATTCTGTTGTGGACAGTTCTCCAGCCATGATATCAGTGTTTGCCATAATGAAATTAAGAAAATAATTTACTCATGGAAAACTAGGACAGGAAACTGTCCATTGCAATTACCCATCTCTTTCCAAACAGCTGAGGCTGGACTTCACTGTGACATGCTAAATGTCCCAGTGGCTCTGTCTTCTCTCAGCTCCGTATACATCTCACAGCAGTGCCTTGCAAGCAAGAATGTGTTGATCAAATCTGTTCTCTGCTCATGAAGAAGAATAAAAGAGGGTCTGAAGAAGGCTAAGTGGGGAAAGTGTGCCAGCAGGAAACCAAGGCCAGGGACTTGAGATTTGGGGGCTCTGACAGCTGAGCCCAGAGGGCCATGGACCATCAGATAATACCCCTCACATTTATTCTGTGTCCTCACAGCTCCAGTACCCTCCCCTAAGTGTCTCAGTTCATGCAGAGCCAGACACTCACTGCCAGCTGCCACACCTTTCGGTAGTGTTGGCAGCAGAAGCCCTAGCTACTGTGTTTCCCCTAAAATAAGACATCCTCTGAAAATAAGACCTACTTACAGGTTTCCTTCTGAGTGAAATATAAGGCAGCCCCTGAAAATAAGCCCCCCCCCCCAGGCTAAACATGAGAGATTTGGTCCACTGATTCTGAAAGAAATGGAGTCACAAGAAATTCACCAGGAAATTCAGGAATTGGATTGTTATGATGATGTTCCAGAAGATGATGACATGATTGTCATTGAATAAATGAGTAAATTCTTGATACTGTAGGATTCAGTTTGTCTGGTTCGTGTTGACAACTATGGTACTACCATACCATATACAGGTAATAAATTTCCTTTATTTTCATTTAACAATAAATGTGTACCGTATTCTTCTTCATGGAAAAATAAGACATCCCCTGAAAATAAGACCTAGTGCATCTTTGGGAGCAAAAATTAATATAAGACACTGTCTTATTTTCGAAGAAACAGGGTAGGTGGGGGACCAGGATGTCTTGAGGCAACCTCTGAGCCAGATGCATGATGCCCCCTAGTGGCTGAATTACTGAAATACGCCCATGCATGTTTTTGTTGAGGATGCTGAAACAGGGCTGACAAAGGCTGGCATGGGCAAGCAGGTGGGGTTGCACAGATAGGGTTGCCCTGTACCCACCTGCTTGCCCATGCCAGCCTTTTATCATTGTGGACAGTATTTAGGACATCTGCTTCCATCCTTTCTTTCAATATCAGTGCTAGGAGTAGAGAAAAACTTATGACTTGTTCATACTACAGTGTTAATGACTTAGCTTAAGGATGTTACTACATATATGTGTTTTAAAAAAGTTTCAGCACACTGACTCCCCCAGTAGCTTCTAACCATGCAGACAAGGAAGACAGAAATAGGAAACCTAAGAATCCGATGAGCTGGGACTAAAGCAGACTTTTGGTAACCATCACCAATCCAGTGGTCTAGGTTTAGACTCATGTGCACTGCCATCCCTTTACACCATATCCCTAGATCTGCTGGCCACCCAACTTCCATTGGACATTAGAAAACTAAATTCCAATAAAGCCATGCCAGTGCCCAAATTCCAAAGCAAGCACATAGTTCTAAAAGCACCTCTCTGTGTGTCCACATTTTCTTCCCCTCACATGCACACACAGTCACGCACACCACACATGTGGCACAGCCCCAGGTGAACGTGACTCTTCTCTCCCACACGGAGAATATCCCCACAGTGTCAATGGCAGCATTTTCCACACTCCATGTTCTCTACACTGGCACCACCGGGGAGGCCGAGGTGAGACGCCCCGCACACCCAGTGCTGCACAGAGTTCAAGGAAATAGAAGTGCAGACACCCAAGGACACTGGGCTGGTGTCACCAGGGCAGCCTGGCTCTCAGGCCTCTGTGTAGAGCACCTTGGAGTCACACAACCCGAAAGGAAGGGGAGATGCTCCTGCAGAGCCGAGTCCCGACGAGGACCGTGCTGAGTGTCCCCCCAGCAGGTGGCCTTCAGGGTGGTGCCAGGGCTCCTCTATCAGTACTTGGAGTGGGTTGTAGGCCCAGAGAAGGGTCTGTGTGTCCCTAATGAGATGATGCTGAGACAAGCTTCATTATTGTAAGGGCAGATCCTTGTGATTATGTCACTGGCTTTGTATGTGTGGAACCATGTCCTGAATGTTGTCACATCCATGAAGGTAGGAGAGCCGCTGCCAGGTGACAAGATTTCATGGTATATTCACCAGTGAGGGAATCCAGGGTATAGGGGAGTTGCCCTCACCGCAGTCCTCAGCACTGGGACAAGTGACTGGAAGATGTCTGAGGTGCACTCCGGTACACAGGCGCACAAGCTCTGCAGGTGTCCTCGGTGGCAGAGGAAGGTTTGCAGAGAAGGCTGTGTCCAGAGTCTCCCCCGCTCACCACCAGCCCCTCACCACCTTCCACACCCCACCCCGGGCCACTGAGGTAGCTCATCGCAGAAACCCCAAGGCACAACGATTAAACCCCAGCTGTGAAGGTTAGAAAACCACGTGGAAAGCCACATTATGATACTGCTGGTGACCCTGAAGGCAGACAAAGTCCTGGATGGCAAGTGGGTGTGCTGTCAGGAACAGCCCCTTCCAGCCTGCCCAGGGGGCTCCTGATTCTGTGTGGGCCACTTATGCAGCGTTTGGAGGAAGGAAGGAAAACAGGAGTTGGGAAAGCTTTCTATATTAGCTTTGTTTTCTTTCTCTAAACAGCTTTCCCAGATTCTGTTTAAAGTTTCAAAAAGGATTACACACCTTCCATCCCCTATTCCCCGCCTCACTAACAACAGGGGCACTTAGAAGCATCCATCCAATGGGTTTCAATACTGTGTGTCTTTCCAGAAAGAGAAGAAGAGTGGGCTGCTGAAACTTCTAGCCGGGGCATCCACCAAGAAGAAGTCTCGCTCCCCGCCGTCCATCTCTCCCACCCATAACCCCCAGGTGGCAGTGGACGCCTCGCTCCAGGGTGCAGTGGGTCTCGAAGTGTCCTCACTGTCCCTCCATGGCCGCGCAGGATCCTGCCCCATAGAGAGCAAGATTCAGGGGGCCATGGGGATGGAGCCACTGCACAGAAAGACGGGCTCCTTGGACCTGAACTTCTCATCCCCTTCCAGGCAAGCCCCTTTCTCCATGGCTGCTGTCCACCCTGAGCCCAAGCCATTGCCCAGAGAGAGGTAAGGCTGAGGGCCAGCTTGCATACTCTTAAACCTTGCTGTGTGTTGATCTGTGAAGTCTGGAGCCACTTTTGGGGAGCAGGGATAGCAAGGATTTCCTTAGGACTAAATTGACTATACACCTCTCACTAGCCAGGACTACTCAGGTCCTGACCTTGGAGGTGAGCATCGGATAAAACCAGTTTGGGAATAAATGGGAGAGAATTTCATGTTCTGAATCCATCTGGGTCCTGAGTTTGGGATTCATCAGGAAATTGTTCAGAACTGATGGGATATTGAGCCAAAGAGCGTAGAGGGGAGACTGTGTCCATCAATCCTAGGGAACCCCTGGAGTAGGCAGCTGGGCTAAGTCCCCATAAGCCTGAGCACCCCACACAGGAAGCATTTTTGTTTTGTGTTGTTGTTTTCTTTTAACTTTAGCCTATTCTGACATCTTAAAATTAAACATTACCCCAAAATTGGCTTCAATTATACACACACACACACACACACACACACACACACACACACACACACTGTTGGGTTGAACTGCATGAAATTGCTGACATTATTTTATTTTATTTTATTTTATTTTATTTTATTTTATTTTAAACAAAACCAGCAATTTCTTAGAGTTCAGCCTAGAGACTTAGGAAACTGAGTCTAACTGAAGTGATGTGGTCCATGAAGCCGTGTTTATAGGCTGAGGTTGCTTGAGTTTTACAAGAGGTCAGAGGATCAGATTCAAATAAGGACTGGGCTGTGGTGTGGGGAAGGGGGAATGGCATCAGCTTAGGGTGATGGGGCTGTGGTGTGGGGAAAGGGATGGCATCAGCTCAGGATAAATGGTGCCATGGAGAGAGGTTTCACATGGGTCCGCTCAGCACACCTTTTCGAACAAGATCCAGATAGTAAGTGTTGCAGCTCACAGTCTCTGTTGCAATGCTCGCCTCGCCACTAGGGCGTAAAGGCCATAGACCACGTGGAAACAATGGGGTGGGTGTTCCAGCAGACCCTACTATGGACACTGAAATTTAAAGCTCATGCAATTTTCTTGTGTCATATAATTCTTCCTTGGATTTTTTTCAACCATTTAAAAATGTAACATTCTTAGCTGTCAGACCACACAAATTAGGTGCAGGCCACAATTTGCCAACCAAGGTCTTGATGAAGGGATTTAGAGCCGAGCCATTGGGGTGGCATTGAGATTCTGGGCCACTGACAACCAGCCTTTCTCCAAAGGGGTGGAGGGAGAGCGTGAGCCAGCAACAGTTAACCTCTGCTAAACAGTGAAAGTGTTAAGTGTGTCTTTACATTTGCTTTTAGAATAACTAGGGTTTGCAGAACGCTCTGTGAAGGGTGATATTCAGAACCTTTAACAATTGGTATGGATCCCAGCCATACACATCCAGGGCAGCCATGTGTACATGCAGCTTAACTTCTGCCAGCACCTCAGTTATTCCCCCTTAGTAACCCCATTTTATAGATGAGAAAACTGAGTTTTAGTAAAAGGCTGAGTATCTTGCTCACAATCACACATGTAGTTCCATAACTAATGCTCTGTCTCCCTATTGGGCAGCCACCCCAGCCCCCTCCCCCTCTGCATGCTTGCCTCTAGCACTCTCCTTGGCAATATTGCAGAATGGCTTTGAGCAATAAGCACGCTTGCCATTTTGCTCCAAATTAAAGGTTTTTGGTGGGTTTTTTTTTGAGTTGCAGTTCCCCATATATAAAATGGGGATAATAATACCTATCTGATAGTTATAATATTTCTGAAAACCTAGACTACTACCTGGAAAATTATGAATGCATAAACAATAGCAACAACAATAATATATGAAATTATATATAATACTATTATATCATTTGACAGATATATTAATCCATTTTTTATTGCCACAGTCTTTTTTTCCATATGTTCACACATGTAGTCTGTCCATCCTCACTCTTGTTGGCCTGTACTTTGTTTGGCTTCCTTAGGATGTAAAAGTTTTTGGCTTTGATGTATTGTGTGGCATGGTAGGTAGGATAATGACTTCCAAAGATGCTTGTGCCCTAATTCCCCAAGTCGTGACTATGTGACCCCCACGTAGCAAAGGGAATGTTGCAGAGGGAATAAAGACAGCTAACTATGGAGATTATTCTGTGTTATCCAAGGGAGCCTAGTGACCACCAGAGTCCTTATTAGTGGAAGAGGGAGGCAAAAGACAAAGTCAAAGTGATCTGACGGGAGAAGGACTCCCTCACCCTTGCTGCCCTTGAAGATGGAGGAAGGGGCTCTGGGCCCAGGAATGCGGGCAGCTCTGAGGAGCTGGAAAAGGCCGGGGCACAGTCTCCCCTGGAGCCTCCAGAGGACCCGGCCCTGCTGAGATCTTGACTTTATCCCTGTGAGACTGTGGGATGACTTAAAGAATCATGAGATGAGAAATTTGTGTTTTATTATGCCACTAAGTTTGCAGAACTGTGACTTAGCAGCAATAGGCAACTGAAACATGTGCTGATATTAGAGTGTGGTGTCCAGGATATAGGTGTGTCCTTAACATCCCCAAGTTCCTAGCAGGACACTGCTCTGTGATGACCACTCTCCAGGAACTCGAGGACCATGTGTCCCCCACAGTGCTGCAGCTAGTGCTGCAGAGAGCCTGCCAGGCAAGGCCCCGTGTGGCCCCTGCTGTTGGGGGGAGCAGATGTCACGGGAAGAGGACCCTCCAAATCTCACACACAGGGCTAACTGCAACATGCAGTGGTAAGAATTCACTCTGACTTTGAGCTTTTTTTATTCCCCGAGTCTTATGTCTGAAAACTAAGTGTGGTCTACATGCCCTCATCTCAGCAGAGTTCTCACTGATGAAGGTAAGATGCGTGATCCTGCCCAGGAGGAGCTGCCGTCTCCAGCGTGCCTGGGCCTTTGGTGCCTGTAACAGGAAGTGCCAGTTACATCAATGCAGCAGGAAGAGTAGCTCAGAGTCTTGGGATGATCTGGACAGAAATGTTCAATGCCTGTCTCCTATATATTCAGCCCACATCATCCATCTAGGCTTATTAAACCATTTTATTGCTCAGAAGCACCAAAGTACTTTTTCCCCCTAACAAATTACATTTTAAAATTTTCTTGTTGGGTGGAACTTATATGCTTCTTTCTCTCCTCCTCCATATCCCCAAAGCCAGCTTTTGGCTCCCAGGGACAGCATGGAAGCTGGTCCAGCTGTGTGTCCGTGCAGCCACTCTGAAGCCCTCAGTCTGGCTTATCTGCTCCCTGGCCTCAGGAGCAGGCATGCCTGTCACATAAACCGCAGGAGCCTCCTTCCTCTCCGTCCCAGCTTGCCTTCCTGGAACAAACAGCCTGTGTGTCTGGGGGCTGTGGGCACTGAGGCTGAGCCTGAGTCCTCACCCCAAGCCCAGCCCACTGCTCTGGACAAGGCTTGTTTGCTCCGCCCAGATGGGCTAGTACCAGGCCTGTGAGCCAGTGGGGTTGAGAGAAGATGAAGTCTGCTCAATGTTTTCTTACTCAGCACCTTGACTCTCAGACATCAGTATGTTACACCTCCCCCCCCCCCTCAGAATTTATTTAAAATCTACATTCCCTGCCCCATCCCTGGCGTCTCAGCCGGAGGGACAGGATGGACACAAACATCTGGGCCCAGGTCCTGAAGTCTGTGAGCCCCTCTGAGAAATGTTGGCTTGGGATCTTTTGTTTTATAATGAGTTTCCTGGTTTCATAAAAACTAGAATACACCAGGGAAAGGCTCCACATAGAACTGAGCCCTCAGGACAGCCTGCTGGTGCGTCACCTGGATGCTGTCTGCCAGAGGCCATTTGTGGAAAGAGACACGGGTGGAGGCAGGGGAGGGGCAGGCCTTTATAGCTGGCTGATGGACCAAGGAAGATGAGGGTAAAAAAAGTCTCCCACATTTCCCCACTTGGCCAGTGGGCCTGGACCATGGCCCGGACACTGCAGGGAGGAAGGGACACAGGGCAGTGTCTCCTCAGAGGCCCCTCTATCCACGTCAGGCCCCTCTAGGCCACCACCACTGTGCAGATCGCCAGGGTCCTTCACTGCACCCAGGGGTCTCTGCAGCCTTCGGCAGGAGAAGGAAAGACAGAAGGCCCAGAGATAGTTTGGGGGGGGGGGGCGAACTGCAGTGGGTGCATGTCATCGTGTCACTCAGGTGTGCAGAGAGCAGGGAGATGGCCCAGGGCCTCTGTTCAGGAGCCACCGACCTGCTGTCCCCACCCAGCCCCGCACACACTTCCACTTCTGTCGTCTTTTATTGCCCACAGGAGAGGCATCATCAGGGCCTGGTCAGCTGAGACTATAAGCTGAACGTGGTGGCAGCTGATTGCTGGGAGGCTGATGTGGATGGAGCTGCAGGTCCCACTAACCCCACTGCCCACTGCCAGCCTCTCCCTCCGCCAGCAGTGTGGATTCCCGGCCCCCGGCTGCCCTCCTCTACTTCTGCCCTCCTACTCCCCCAGCAGCCCAGTCCCACTGTGGGCCTGCAACTCTCTTCAAATCTCCTAGCAGAGGGACCCATGGCAAGGCCATGGGGAGAACATGGCCTGGGGTGGCTGGGTGCGTGCCCTTCCAGGTGGCCCCGGCCCAGCCCTCCTGGTCAGTGGAGGAACCATTACTGAGCACCTTGACCTGGCCAGGCCGAGTACTCCCCAGAGCCTCAGCTTACCCAAGTCTATAGCAACCTTCAGCTAGGGGCTTTGAGGGAGTGAGAGTGGCTACTCCCTGCCTGCACCAAATCTGTGCACAGTTAGTTCTTGGACTCTGTCCTGGAGCCCTGCTCCGTGCCCAGCTGGGTGGATAGAGGATGAAGGTCCAGTCCGATGTCAGCACACATGCCCCTGAGTTCCCTGAGGGGCGGGAAGGTATGGGTGGCTAGAGTGGTAGGGGCAGGGCAATTCCTGTCAGGCTGGGTCTGTGAGGGGTACAGCACAAGGGCACCTGCTAGCTTGTCTTTGATGGTGTTTTAGAAGAAGCTGGTCCTCAGATTGAACACAGCTTCTTTTCAGCCTTCCTTCTCCTCCTCTGAGGCCTTGCCTGTGGACAGGTGTGGGTGTGGGATGTATGCCAGACCACCCTGTCCTGGTGCTAGGGTGCTTGGCAAAATGCCGGGGAGGGTCAGACCACTGTCTCTGACCCGGGAGCTGTCAGGGCAGCTCTCAGGGACAGCACCCTGTGTGCACCTGACCTGGCACCTGCTGAGGCCCCCTGGGCCCTCCGAGGTCTGTGCTTGGTCTGGTTGGAGCTCAACCAAACCAACGACCCCTCCAGGTGCCCCGCAGGTCATGTCACCACTGGGATCATATGTCATGTTGGTCTGAAAATGAAGGGTGAAGAGTTCAAAGGCCACAGGGAGGGCCAGATTTTGCAGGAATGAAGTGTGTGAAACAGTGGGCCTTGCTTATGAAGTGATCTCAGAGGGTCAGGGTCCTGTGCCACGATGGGGACATGGACACCTGTCTTGCCCCTGCCACTGGGATGCCAAGGTCTGAGGTGGCCTGAGGGAGGTGACTCAGAGAGGCTGCATGTGGGTGGAAATATCCCAGCTGCCTGGAGCAGGGTTTAAAAGGCATCACAGGGAAAGGCTACTATCAAATTTTCAATAAAAGTGAAAAAAAATTATTTTAAGTGGAGAAAAGTAGCCCCAAATTACAACAATGTACGAGAGGGGAAAGGAAAGAAAGAGATCTTGCCAGCAGACAGCGGGCCACTCCTGGGTCATTCTCCAGCCTTCTGGGTCAGGCTCACCCACTTGGTGTCTGTCCCCCCTTCAGGTACCGTGTCGTGGTCTCGTACCCGCCCCAGAGCGAGGCAGAGATAGAGCTGAAGGAGGGAGACATTGTCTTTGTGCACAAGAAGCGTGAGGACGGCTGGTACAAGGGGACCCTGCAGAGGAACGGTCGCACGGGCCTCTTCCCGGGCAGCTTCGTCGAGAGCTTCTGAGGACAAACTCTCCACACTCCACTCACCAGGGAGGAAGGCTTTCCAGGAAGCCCAAGGTGCAAGGGGAGGGCCACCACTCCCCAAGGTCTCAGGTCCCTTCCAAGGCCCCCACAGGGGTGTGGAGGTACTGCCTTCACCCCCAACTCCCAACCAAGAGCACATCTTGGGGTTGTTCTTGGATGAGAAGCCTGCCACACCATGTGAACTGTAGAGAAGTGAGTTAGGAGGAGGAAGATGCTCCTTGAGTCCCCTAGGTGGCTCCCCAAGGGGCTCACTGTGTAAGGCTGTGTGCGGGCACAGAATGTCTTCACAGGCTGTCTGGGCTGCGGGTGGGGTCCAAATTGCTTCATTGCTCTCTTTATACCTCAGCCGCCTACCACCTGCCCAGCCCTGGGAAGCCTGGCTGTGCAGCCTGTGGGCTCCCACAGCTCCCACGGCTGGTCCCCATCAGCATTGGGAACAACACTTCTGACGACCACTGCCCTTTGCTTTGCTTCTTTCTCACATCTTTTTAATATAAAGCTGTTAGACTTTATATATTTATAATCAGTCATACATTGCCTATTTTCATACATCTGGTGCTGCCTTTTTGTAATGACTTGGTTGAGTTTGAAAGAAAAAAAAATGTCCGAGGAAACATCAAATGGGCATAATTTTTATATTTACTATATAAACTTTAGAGAATTTTGGAAAACCCACATTCTCAACACCACAATGCCCTGAACATGAGATAAGAGGGGATCCATTTAGGAGATTCAAGGGAGTTTGGAAAAAGCCAATTTCTTTCAATCTTTACCAAAGCCCAAAGCTCTGTCTAGACAGCGTAATTGTTACTCAAGAACATTCAACTTCAGGAAAAGTGGCTATAATCGCCTTTTGTGTGGCAATGAAAAGGGCATGAAAGTGGACCCTAACCTGGAAAAGCGGAATTTTCCTCTTATTTTTTTAACTAGAGTGACAACAATTCATTTTATCAAACTATAATTTTTAACTATTGAAATGTGCAGTTTTTATCCCAGTTCAGATGTAAACCTCCACAATTTATAAGACCAGGTAAAGGTTTTCCTTTTTATAATGCACTAGAGGCCCCGTGTACAAAATTCGTGCATGGGTGGGGGTTCCTCAGCCCGACCTGCACCCTATCCAATTTGGGACCCCTTGGGGATGGCCAACTGCTGGTTTAAATTGTTAGTCAGACATCTTTCTTGCAATCCAGAATGACTGGCTCCTTACTGTTCGTCTGCCTGCCTGCCTGATTGCCCCTAACCCATCTGCCGGCTGGCCTGATTTCCCCTACTTTGCCCCCCTGCCAGCCTGATCACCTCTACCTTGCTCCCCTGCTGGCCTGATCACCCCTACCTTGTCCCCCCTGCCTGCCTGGTCACCCCTAACCTCTCTGCCTGCCAGCCTGATTGCCCCTAACTGCCCTCCCCTACCGACCTGATCTCACCTCCAACTGCCTTCCTCTGCCGTCCTGATCTCACCCCCCAACTGTCCTCCCCTTCCAGTCTGATTGCCCCTAACTGCCTCTGCCTCAGCCCCCACCACTATGGTTTTGTCCAGAAGGAAGTGGGATGTCTGAATGATGGCTGATTGACCTGGTCTAATTAGCATATTATCCTTTTATTATATAGGCTAGGATTGCTTAAATGGTGATGGGGGGGGAGCCTTTTTCATCAGTAGAAGATGCTCTTGGCATATAATACATAAACACATAATCCCTACATCTGGACTGATAACCAGCCATATGCACTATACTGCCAAACCGGTTGTTAAAAACTTGAACCACTTCCTAACACCTTACACAAGAAAGCTATTGCCCTTAAAACCCCTCCTTAGCCCCCACCTTAGGTTCTGCCTTCACAATTCACTCAGAGTAGGTTCCGATTGATCAGTTTCTATGCCAGTCAGTGTCAAAAGCTCCCCCTCCTAGGCAGCCATTGGCTTCTCAAAATTCACCCAGATTTGGTTCTTATTGGTCGGTTTCTGTGCCAGTCAGCATCTCAGGGCCTATCTCCAGGCTTGATCATAGAGGTGGGTCTGATCAGCAGCCACCCCAGGCTGCTGGGAATTGGGCTGAACTGACCTCTGGGAAAGAGAGAGGCTTGGCTCCAGGCCTTGCCAGCAGCCCCTGTCACTGCTGACCAGCCCTGCCGCGCTCTCTCTCTCTCTCTCTCTCTCTCTCTCTCTCTCTCTCTCTCTCTCTCTCTCTCTCTCTCTCTTTCTCTCTCTCTCTCTCTCTCTCTCTCTCTCTCTCTCTCTCTCTCTCTCTCTTTCTCTCTCTCTCTCTCTCTCAGAGGTCAGCAGTTCTGTGCTTGCCTGGTGTGCATACAACCTGGTGTTTGGTCGAGCCTTTGACCATTTGAATGTTACGACCCTGGCTCTTTATATATATAGATAACTGCTTCCTTGTGAACCTGGTCTAGAGCCTGGAGGTCCATGGGGTAGCAGAAGTAAGTCCTCTGCAAATGGGGAGCTGGGAGCTGAGAAGGAACCAAGGGAGAGGTGGATGGGCAGCTCCGACCCTGGGCCCCCACAGGTGGGATCCAGGACACAGCTCATCTCCACAGATGCTGCCTCACAGAGCCCTGTCACAAGACAGTCTTGTTTTCAAGAGACTCATACCTTAGGAATACATTCTTATCTGTTCAGAGTCACAACTTATAAACTCTCTATATACATTTTACAGATCACTCAGGTTTAAATTAGGCTGAGTAAATTAGCTATCCCTGATTTTTAGGGATGCAACAAAATCCAGAAACCCATTCCCTCCCATGGAGGGATGCCTCTGAAATACAAACACTTATTTTCAGAGTTCCTGTTTGGGGATGTGATTGGGATATTTGTTACTGTCAAGTGGCTACCATGCTGGTGGCAATGTTCCTATAGAAAGGCTCATTTTCTTGCTAGTAATAGATTGAATCGGTTTGAGAAAGTTCTTCTAAATCAAGGAAATAAATGCAGTTTAAATACAGGGATCCCTTGGCTCAAGTTAATGGCAACCATCAGTTGCCAACTTAGTTGCCTACTTTGCACATCAATCATGTGCATGCTTAAAATCATGTCATTGACAAAAACATGCTGACTGAGACAGTTATTCTCCACTGAAACCAGAACTAACTCACATTCTCTCATACTAAGAAGAGGCAAAAAAAAAAAAAAAAAAAAAAAACTGACAGTAGTCATCATGCAACAGAAAAGACTAACTTGGGCCTTCTTTTCTTTCCTGCCACGATCCATATGGTGCTCTGGTTGATAGACGTGCTGAGTAGCTCAGTGACTGTGAGGGAAGCAGCAGCCATGGGGTCAGCACCCCTCACAGCAGTATGTTTGCAAGGCATCAGCTGGCTTAGCTTGAGGCTGAGTCAGGGGTGGCCATTGGGACTGACTTGAGAAGTAATGCCCCCCAGCCAGGCACCCTCTTCAGGAGGGGCTCTCAGGGCAATGCTGGACACTCAGAGGGCAGGCAGTTGCCCAACAGGCCCCATGCTTTAGGCTGACTGTTTTCAAACATGTTCAGTCAGACCCATCAGCCTTCGTGACCATTTAACCCGTGGACAAGAGCAGGCTTAGACCCTTCCTTCAGACCATCTTGCCTCAAGGGACACACTCCTTTTGTTTTCTAAGGTGAAACAACACCTTATCTGAAACCCTTACATTCCCTCCTGGCCCAGGGACTCACTCAACTTGGGTGCACAGTGGTATTTAGCAGCCAAGGTGACTTGCTTTGAGGAGCACAGTGGAATCCACTGTCACCACTGAGGGAGGTCACCGAGGTGATGGGGATATGAGGCCACCAGAGGACCATGGGAGAGTTGTGGTGAGACAGAGCTGGACAAGAACCCCCTGATTCTAGTGCACCAAATAAGCTCAGTGGCCCAGCTGGGAATAATTTGTACTTTGCACAATTCACACACACACACCCTAATGGTTTTGTTATACACAAATGTCAGTGTGTGTGACTTCAGAAGAATTTACAGTGATGACAAACTATGATGCTGTGTTTCTGAGTCTTTAAATAAAAAATGGACATGGAGAGGTCTTGTGTCTGAGGGTAGGAACAGCAAGTGTGGGGCCTAAGCAGAAACACCAGCTTGATAGGGGAATGAGCAGGCACCACCTGTGTCCCCACTGGTGCACACTCCTGTCACCTCTGAGTGCTCCCTTGTGGGAGACATGGGATCTGTGTCAGGGTGTGGGGCCGCTGAGGAAATAAAGGATGTCAGACAGCTGACCAAGCACTCACTCCAGAGAACCACTGGCTGGATGGCGAGAATTGAGCACAGGCTGGCTGAGCATAAAGGATCCCAGCTTCTCCAGGGCTTGTGTGCCAGACAGGTCTGCCTCTGTGACTTCCTGCAGGTGACTCACATTCCTTTCTTGTGGGAAAGCTTTTCATGTCAGTAGTTATTCAGGCAACCAGGAGTGGCTGGTACTGACCTCCCAGACTAGGAGTGGCTAGTCCTGATCTCCCAGACCAGCACTCTCAACACCCTGCTCTTGTCTGTCTTGCCCTTGGGGTGCCTGGGCTTTCTACATCACAGAGTAGAGGGTGCCTTGAAGCCACCAACAGGAGGGACTTGAATGACTGCCAACCTCCAGAAAGGTGGGCCTGACCCAAATCGTCCAGACAGACTATTGCTGGCCTGAGAACTGACATGTAGGGTGTTTTCTGAAATAGGCTTTCTCTGCCTTCTCAGGCATAGAAGTGCCTACATTCTTTGACTATCATATATATGTGATGTCCATGGGATAGGCACTATTATGGGTTGGGTTGTATCCCCTCAAATTCATATGTTGACGTCCTAGTCCCCAGTACCAAGACTCCAGGCATCCCAGCTCTGGATTTCTGTGAGTCACAGAGTCCATTCCCCTCCCCGCAGGCTTACTGCAGCGGCATAGGAACTGCTACATCTGCTATTTGCAAGCAGGCCTCCTGCCCACACAGGACAGACAGCTGTGCTACCACAAGCCTGAGCACGTGGACATGGGGATTTTGT